CCGTCACCGGGAGGGGGGGGGGGGTTCATCTGTATTTCTTTTCAGAAAAGAAATAATTCCAATTAATCAGGCTGCGTTTGCGTATGGACAAATAACAAAGCGCATTGGAGATTTTTCAGGAAAGCCAGCCCAACATGGTTGCACTCCCCATCAAGCACCACGGTCCGAAAGCAGCGCCCGGCCGTGGGGACGCAGGGCGATGCCGAAATGCCACCGCTGGTTTTAGGGGCCAGGCGAAGTGTAGGTAGGATCGGACCTTTAAAGCAAGCTAACCGAAATATCTCTTAAAATGAATGTTCATTTTTTCTTAACTGAAATGTAGGAAAAGCTGCACGTTATGGAAATGCACATGTGGGGTTTTTATAGGTTCCTATCTCCAGCAGCCCCCTCCCCCACCCGCCAGTTCCCATCCAAAAATGAATGCAAAGAAATACTATTAGGCTGTCTGGTTATGTATTTTTTATGAGGCCATACAAGACACTGCCTGACCTCGTGCAGCTCATGTTATAACCACATTGAAGATGCTTTTCATTTGGGTTCTGCTTTTCAGCCTGGATGACCTCTATTAAATAAAAAAAAAAGAAAAAAATGGCCTAATATGTGACCCCTGGGACTAGTCGCTTCAAGGATTACATTTAATTCATATGATAATATTGAAATATAATGTTTCTGTGTCTAATGTTTTGGATGTTTTTTCTTTCTTCTTTATTTCAGGGACCCTTTGAGTCTTGTCAAAGATTTTTTCTCTTTTTTTTTAAAAATCTGTTTTGGGGGGAGGACAAGTAACTCATGCTCGGTGGTCAGATTCTTAAAAATCACCTTTCTTCCTTTGGAAACCAGGCGTGAATACAAAAGAGCGCTCTTCCCACTGTCTTTGAAGGAGAAGAAGAGAAACAAAGGCAGAGAAATTATTTTTTATCGGAAAGCGTGTCTGCCAAGAGCTCGTCAAAATAAAGAACCATTCTTTCTTTTGGCATTTGTTTAACCAGTTGATAAGGAGTGACCTGCTTTCCCCCGCTCCCCGCACAACCTGGACGGGGGGTGTGGGCAGACCCCCCCTTCACCTCCTTCCTCGCCTCCAGCTCCCATTGTCTGCCTCGCCACCGCCGCAGCCCTGCCGCTGCCCAACGCACGCGTATTTACCGTGCGAACCCACCCGCAAACACTGCTTCTGCGCTTGCCTGTGTCGGCCCGGTGTCGGAGCAGCGCAGCCCGTGCCGCTCTCCCCTGTGATAGAGCATCCCAGCATTTCTGATAGACAACGCATATTTCAGGGGTTTATAACTTCTCCATAAAAACGTACTCTGGGATGAAACACGACTTGCGACGGTTCAGCTTAGGAGCAAATTTGCTTTTGCAAATGGGAAAAATAAATTCGACTCTTCCTAAACATTCTGCATGCAAAAAAAAAAAAAAAATTTTAATAAAGTACATTTTTTTTCCCGATCCCCTCGCTAAAATCATGTTGCGAGGTGTACGGTGGAATTCAGCAATCAGTCAGTGATCTGATCTGAGACCTTGCACCAGGAAGCAACGCGGCCCTTCATCATCCACCGTAATGACATGTTTGTAAAAAGGCGCCACACGTATGCACCGCGCCTTTCCAGCAAGCACTCAGTGCCGGGTTCCTGCAAAGTGAACGCGATGCGTCGAGCGATGGTGTGTTCGGCGGAAAGGATTTTCCTCCTCCTCATCCTCGGAGCCCGCGCAGGCTGTTGGCAGCCCGGCTGCTCCATGCCGGCTCACAAAAGCCGCGTCTTTTTAGAACAATAGGCCTGCGCTCCCCGATACCCGGTCCCGAAACGCGGGGACGCTGCTTCCATCACATTCGCAAGGGGATACACAACCCTGATTAATTCCCCCCCTCCACCTTTTTCCTACCGTGACCTATGAAATAGCAAAATTAATTTGTGCAAAAACACACCTCGAACGCCACGCCGGTGGCGATGCCATAGTCCACGGCGGTGGCGTGGGGTTAAGGCTGACCCCGGGTGCTCCACCATGGCGGGAGCCGGTGCAGACGGAGCGGCCACGCTACATAAACCCCAGCCCTCCTCGGGGCCCGCGCGCACCCAGGAGCCGCGGGGCAGGCGAAGGCTGGAGTTCGCACGTTCACTCCCCACGCCATGGCGTTCGTTTGCGTCATAGCCTGAACCTTGGCGGGTTTTTGGTGAAAACCTAATTAGCGGTATGGACGCCGCCCTGCGCGCGTGCATTCCATGTATATGCGCAGCAGCATTTTGTGTAGGATATTAAAAAAATATCTCTATATATATCTACAGGCTTTTGGTTCCCTTTTGTAAGGCATTAAGCTGTGACCCTCCCCTCCTCTCTTCCCTCCCCCTCTAGCCCCAGACTTCCCCGTGCCCTGGCTGCGAGCTTAACATGGAGTTGTCTTTTTTATTTTTTTTATAAACCCAGTCACAACACGGGAAGAGGAGGAGGAGGAAGAGAGAGAAAAGAGAGAAAACTAAGAACCCTGAAGGATGGTTCTCCAAAAATTCTGGCGGAACCGCGGGGGGATTCCTCGGCGAGCGGGA